GATGGAATCCCAGCAGAAGCATTGAAAATGGACCCAGAGGCAACAGCGGACTTGATGACGCCACTACTGTAGAAGGTGTGGAAGGAAGGCAAAGTACCTGAGGATTGGAAGAAAGGATACTTATTCAAACTAACAAGGAAAGGAGACTTAAGTCAATGCAAGAACTGGCGCGGAATTATGCTCCTGTCCATCCCAAGCAAAATACTCAGCCGCATCATCCTGGAGAGAATCAAACATGCCACCCTGGATGAAAAACTTCGACCGGAACAGGCTGGATTCAGGAGAAACAAGTCATGCATTGATCAGATCGTCACATTACGGATCATCATTGAACAAAGCTTGGAGTGGCAGTCACCTCTCTATCTCAACTTCATCGACTTTGAAAAGGCCTTCAGCAGACAGCGTCGATCGATAGGTGATTTGGCAACTACTTCGCTACTATGGGGTGCCGCCAACAATTATACATCTCATCCAACAGCTGTACGACAATGCTGCATGCCAAGTAATCCACAACGGGAAACTTACGGAATCCTCCGAAGTGAGGACAGGAGTAAGACAAGGCTGGCTGGCTGTCTACTATCGCCAATGATTTTCCTGATTGCAGTAGATTGGATAATGCGACAAACAGTGGGCAGTGAGGAAACAGGCGTAAAATGGACTCACACAAAATACTTGGAGGATCTGGACTTCGCCGATGATATGTGTCTGATTTCCCACAAACTAGAAGATATGCAAGCGAAAAGCAACAAGTTGGCAGAAGAAGCATCCGGAGAAGATAGGACTTCAGGTGAACATAGAGAAAACAGAGGTGATGAAGATTCCTGGCCAACAACAACAACAGATAACAATCAGCATAAATGGGAGGAACCTGAAAGAAACAACCTCCTTTACCTACCCACCCACCCACCTGGGAAGCATCGTTTCAACTACAGGAGGATGGAACTGACGAGGATATCAAAGCAAGAATCGGAAAAGCAAGACAAGCTTTCATTACTCTCAAGTCTGTGTGGAGGTCAACAGCACCCAGGATCAAAAATAAGGTCCGGATTTTCAACTCCAATGTGAAGTCAGTCAGTGCTACTATATGGATCAGAGACTTGCACTGAGCATCATAAAGAGCATCTAAAACAAACTACAGACCTTCATTAACAGTTGTCTTCGCTCAATACTCAAGATAAGATGGGTGGCCAGAAAAGATCAGCATGGTGGGATCTCTGTGAGCGAACCAACGAGGAACCGATTGTGAAACAAATAGGCAGGAAGAAATGGAGGTGGATTGGCTGGTCATACTCTGAGGAAACCATCAAGTGACATCACTAGACAAGCCATTGCTCGAGTGGAACCCGATAGGGAAGCGGCGAGTTGGTGGTCAGTGCAAGGGTGACTTGGAGGAGGTCATGTGAAGAGGAGATGAAAGCGTGTGGGCAGACTTGGAGCCAGGTGAAGACTCTAGCAGAGAACCGAACGCAATGGAGACGCACGGCTGAAGCCCTATGTTCCTCTAGGAATTAAAGGATACAATAATAATAATAAATAATCACAAGTAATAAATTTGTATATTCACACTTTCACCATTTTCATTGTTTCGAAATTAGGTGGAACACTGTAAACTCAACAGAAGTGAAACTTTCACCTGGTAAAAGCGATCTTTAGATTATAAAGTTTGGTGTTATACTACACAAGAGCTAACAGAGTCGTTTTACTTGTATATATGTACGACCAAATTTCCTTTAAAAGAACTCTACAGATTCATATGCATTTTAGTTGGCAGAGAAAGATGTAAAAACCTTAATTTATTTTAACTAGAGACGTCCGCTTCTAGCCTCTCATAGTATGTAGTACAATACTATAAGTGGTATAGAGACAAACAGCAGAGTACTAGGTAGGCAGAGGAAGTCACTGGATAAGGTTATGTAGCTGCATCGATTGAGATGGCTAGAATATGCGGTATGCATGAGCATATATAGCCGACCTGGACGATGAATGTTAGCTGATGTGAAGTTATGTGTAAGAAAAGTTGCATGAGGTCAGATAGAAACATGGAATCGATCTATGAAACTTAACATCGTTGGTTTAAGCTGCCTAGAAGAGTGTAGAGTGCATTCACACTGATCATAGACACATTAAGAAAAAGTGGTTGGAGACATAATGACATCTGTTGAATTCTCTCCCATTCACTCAATGTGATCTTCTACATTCTGTAAATCCTTATCATTCTTTAAACAATTATTTTTTTAAGTATTGGTTTGTTGGGATTTGGTTGATTGGTTACAGGATTTCATCATGAGCTGGCATCAGTTAGAGAACCACTGGAAAACCTGGAAGTACTGGACAGCTGTTTCGTCCCAGTTTTGGACTCTTCATCAGTACGTACCCACCGGGATTCGAACCTGGTTACAAGGCGAGCTCGTAGACCATTAAGCCACTGGGATCCAATGGTCCATGAATTCTAACTTCTGCCAATTCACGATATAGCGCAACCGCTAGCCACTGTCATGCTTTTATGAAGTTTGTTGACTTGAAATACTGTACTTTGTGCAAAGTTCTACGTTGAAAATTCAGTTCAATCAAATCACTTCAAGTGAATTATCCAATTGTACAATTAATAATTGTGATGTAATAAGGATTTTTGATTTCATCTCTTGTTATCTTGTGAAAATCCTCCATCTTTATCTACATGATGAAGACATTTCATTTTACACTCTTATTACAACCTCAGAGTAATGTGCAGGAAGCAAGTGATTTTTTTCACAGACATCATTGAAGCCAGTGAAGTAACAAACTGATTAAAACACATGTAGTATGGTTTGTATAATATATACAGCACATTTGAAATGATAAAATTAGAAATCGATCAATGAACGTCTAGACAACACTAAATTTCTGTTATTTCTCTTACCTATCAAATTTTAAGCAGTCATCTTTGCATTTTGATATAATCTTTTGAACTAGACTTTAAAATTCACAGTCTAAAATGTACACGTATCTAAGTGCATAAGATAACTACTAATCAAAACTTTTATCTGCTTGACTAGTTATTATACACAAAGATAATATTTTCAAGATAGTAAAAACCTTTTTAAATAATATTCAAAATCTCTCTGTCATTGAAAAAGCCTTGGATTTTGTCTGTGGCTATTGCAGAGTAAGCCATCCTGATGAATAGCATTGTTTATATACATTTATATACATATGCCTATGGATATAGACTTTTCCTGTAAAAGGTATCCGTTACCAACAGACTAATTTCTGATTTATTACACACTTAATGGTGAATATGAATCACAAAGTGTCTAACCTATATATCCTTTTTCCTCATGTTGTATTTATATTTATTAGCATAAAATTTAACTGAAAACACTACTCATACAAGAGGAACTGATTGTGATCTTTGCTACTTGACAACTTTTTTCATTCAAAAACTCGAAAACTAACAATAAATAGTACATTTATCTTTGAATAAAACAAGAACGAGAAATGCACCAAGATAATATAAGCTCAGATTTTTATTTTTATTATTTCGTGGATTCTTCTCAAGCGCACAAATTTCACTACATCATCCTCTCGTTTGTTTAGAAAACTTGAATTTTCCGTCTAAACATGACTCATCCTAAACCCCCTTTTATGTCTGTTTTATAACACGAGAGATAAGCATTCTAAACTGGTCACCGACTCAGTTCCAAAGAAAACCTTATTCATGAACTTGGAATTCAAAGGTGATCAAGCTGCACATATGCTCAAAAACTGCCTCTCTAAATCAGTCAGTAAAACGTTCTTTGCTGCAAAATCACAAATGACGTTCACCAGCCGCAAGTTGTTCTCCATCTCTGTAAACGATAAGCTCCCCCGTTTGGCCGCCTCCGTATGCATCTATCAGTTTACCCGCTCTTGTGGAGCAAGGTACACTAGCCGTAGCGAGAGAACGCTTTCCACAAGGATACGAGAACATATTCCAGCTTGTTTTTACAAGGGAGAAAGGAAGTGTGTGCGAAGCCCTATTCTAGGACAACATTTGCTCGACTCCTGTCACTTTGCCAACCCTGACCATGATTTTAAGATCATCTACCGAATCCATGCTAACTTGCCGTTGTTTCTTGGTTACAGACTTCTAAAGAGAGCGGAGGCCTTGGTCATTCATATTATTTATTAGGTCATACTGAAGGGAGCTGTAAAGTAAATCAAAGGCAGAAGTGATTTGAAATACTTAACTCCATGCATAGTCCTTGACATTTACTTAATTTAGGCAGGCTAAGCTCACAACAAATTACATAAATAGTGTTCGTTAAAAAGAAAAAAAAACAATCCTTTTTCGAAAACCATTCTAACCTTCTTTTTTTCAAAAAACAATAAAAGCGGATGAATCTTTTTACAAATGCATGCTACTTATTAGCTAAATGTTTTTTGAGTTTCTCCCACTTTAAAATTAAAACTCCATAACTAACAAACAGGTTAAAATGTTTCCGTATCAACATGACGACGTCATAAAAGCAACAATTAATCTTAGAAGGCAAACAGACTGATTCAGTAGGCCATAAATTAAGGCAAATCAATGTCTATTATTATTTTCTTTGTTACTAATAAGTAGCGGTAGTAGCGGTGGTGGGGGTGGTGGTATTAGTAAAAGAATAAGAACCGTTACTATGATGTGGTGTGAAATTTTCCAGTTCATGCTTATTGAACAGACCTTGTTACATTCCATCTTATTTATGGATTCTGAACTAGAAAGTTAAGTATACAATAACTTGAAGCATTAGTTAGTCAAAAGTCAAGTCAGAGAAACATATTCCAAGTATCTGGGAAGGGAAAGATGAGTTTAAACGACGTAATACTTTTTTCAACATTGTCATTCAGTAAAAAATCATTGTATACTTTTATCAAAATAGACATAATCAAAAATAAGTTTTGTATAAAGATGACAGTCACAATAATATTTAATAATAAAAAACAACAGTACTACTAAACATGGAAATAGATAATGTGAAAGTAAATAGCAAATTTACCTTCTCCCCATCCTGTAATTCCAATCTCCGGAGCAGGACAAACTCTAGTTAGGCGTTCCTGACAAACGTCTTTATTATGAATTACAACTGGACAATTTCGACAGTACAAATAAGAGTGGCCATGAACTGAGTGTTGACAAAATTCACAACATTCACGAAGTCGGGAACAAGTAGCACGTACAAAAACGTGTCCTTTCAATATTACCTCAAAAACTGTTTCATCACCACCTGATTTACGACCGAGTTCCTTTTCCAAACTTGAATGGTTAGCTGCTAAATTACCTGCGCTAGAGAATTCAAATCGGTGAGCTGATTTATGCTGACGATGTAAGTGTTTTTGACTTGCATTTGGTATCAAATGCGCAAGTGTACTGCTGGACATGTGTTGTTTAAGTGAACTTAACGGTCGACCGTGATAATGATATGGACCATGATGATGTAGGTAGTAACGACTTTTAAACTGTTCCTCGCCATGTGCACTTCGATTCATAGAAGTAGTTGATGACGATTCAATTCTTGACATTGTTCTAGTTTTAACAGATAATAATAATAACTAAATCCTAGAGATGTTCAGATGTAACTGTAAATACAATTTTTGCAGTCAAGACTATCTTGAAAATCTATAGATCCTGTAAAATAATTATTTCTTATTTCAATTAAGTTCAGTATTATTTCTCTAGCTTTATAATTAACTCAAACTATGAACAGCCAATTACAAATCAAGGTAAATGTTGGTTTATTAACCAATCGAATATTGCTACATCTGTCGAGAAGATTAATTTTCACAAAATTCACATTATCATGAGTTCTTTGATATAACACATCACTAAGTATTCAGATGACCACCGTAGAATAATTTAGATTTTTGAGAAAGCACAATTATCAATCACTAACTGAATTCATAAAGCCTAATTAATTCAAATCCATCAACGGGAGGAATTTGAAAGAGGTTAATTCATTCACTTATCTAGGGAGCATTGTCTCAACCACAGGAGGAACGGACGAGGATGTCAAATCGAGAATCGCGAAGACGAGAAACACATTCGTCAACCTGAAACCAATCTGGAAATCTATATCACTCAGCATCAACAACAAAATTCAGATTTTCAATACAAACGTCAAGTCAGTCAGTTCTTCTATACGGATCAGAAACTTGGCGGGTCACAAAGAATATTTCCAACAGCCTGTTGCAGACCTTTATCAACAGCTGTCTTCGTTCTATACTGAAGATCAGATGGCCGGAAAGAACAAGAACCAACAAGAAACTATGGGAAGAAACAAAACAAGAACCAATCGCTCAACAAATGTGCAGGAGAAAGTGGAGATGGATTGGACACTCGCTGAGGAGGCCGCTGGGTGACATCACGCGTCGAGTGGAACCCGAAAGGGAAGTGGCGAGTGGGTTGTCCAAGGCTGACATGGAGGAGATTTTGTGAAGAGGAGTTGAAACAGTATGGATTAACATGGACGCAGGTGAAAAGTACAGCAGAAGACAGAAACAAGTGGAGACGTGTAGTAGAAGCCTTATGTTCCACTAGGAACCCGAGGGAACAATAATAATAATTAAGAAGAAATGAAAGATATTGGCAATAATTTCTTTCCTTTATATTTATTCTTTCGAAAAAGTCCATCTTATTGAATAGCACTGGATGAGAATCAACCTTTTAAGTTACAAAAGCTCGCATAAAGCTACGCTTTATAAAGTATATTTATGTGAAACGATTCAGAGTTGGTATAAACTGCCTTAAACAACACAGTCCCCCACACATCACTTTCAGTGAACTGACAGTGGAAGATTACGATGAATACTTTTAAGCAATACCTTTTAAAGATGTTATCTGAAGCCCATAGGAAATGAGTTTGTTTTTTATCTAATTGATAATAATAATAATAATTTGCTTTATTCCAGAAACAGTACTAGTGGTACAGTGTGGAATTTTCAGCACATATCTACAATATTTGCATCTAATTTTATCAAACATTTAAAAGGAGTATTAAACAAACAAACAAAAATAAATCTAAAGACACCAAGAGCAAAAATAGACAGGAAAAACACAAAATAATTTTTAGAAAAATGCAAAAAAATACCAAGAAGTAGAAAGGAAAATAAACAGCATATAATAATAACTCAGTATTGGGTAGTGGAAGCTATGATATGATTATGCATGGTGACAGTAAAGCTATAGCCATACAAGAAGTTATGAAATGATGTTTAAGAATGTTTATCGCCAAGAAGATCAGATAATTTGGTTGAAACAATTATAAACAATCATAAAATAATATTTCAGGGTTGTTTTTTTATTGTCAGGTCTAATGCAGTGTTTGTAGTGGTAGTGTGAGTAATCCTGCATAGTACTAAATTTTAAGGTGGTGATAATGGCGTTCACAACCAATGATTGTCACTTAATATTGCCGAGAAAAATTAAAAAAAGCAAAAACAACCACAAAACTAATAATTACATGATGGTTAATGACAGGAAAATTTTGTACTACTCATAGAGCTAATATAGTGTAAACCAGTAGATACACAAAAAGAAGGAAATACAGTAAAGTACAAAAAGTAAGCCAATGTTAATAATTTAGGTAGCTAAGTATGTTTAAGAAGGAGTTCACTATAGAATACAAAATAAGAGAGAAATAAAAGAGCCTAAAATTATGTTATTAACAACAAAGCAAGTCATAGGTTTCGCGCTTAACATTGTCTCTGTCACTTAGAACACGGGCCAAATATGGTATCATTGAGTTCCTGTACTTGGTTGTACGAGCATAAATTATTTTATACTGATTTCTGATTCTACTTGATGAGGTTCAAGGCGAGAGTTGGGAATAGAGGGGGTGTTGGGGGTCGGACAGTATGGTTTTAGACCATTTTTCGCATGTATTCAGATGCCTATCAACTAATGTAGTGACGAGCTGACTGAGTTTTACACCACTAGTCCTACTGACTGCCTTCAACATCCTTCTCAGAATGGTATAGTCCTTTTTCAGTAGACCAGGAAAGACTAATAGGGAGCAGTAAAGTGGAATATGTAAGATATGAGAGTTGAAAAATTGTGAAATTAGAGGTTAAGAGATCCCAGATAGTCTACGTTTTTTCCTAATGTAGTAGGTTAGACGGAACTCTTTCTTAGAAATCGTTTGCATATGAGATATCCAAGTAAGGTAAAAAGACAGAACTAGATCGAGGTATTTTTCATTAGACTTAGTTTCAATTTTAGTCCCCTCAATGCAACAGTTTTCATGAGAACTTACTAGTGTTTGTAGATCTCGTTTATGCCTAAGGGAGAAGTCAATAGTCTGGCATTTTGAGGGATTCAGCATGACACCATTCAGTTTAGACCACTGACTGACGTCCGACAGGAAGCTATTTAATTTGAAACAGTCTGACTTAGACTTAATGGGAAACAATACAGACAGGTCATCTGAATATTTGACGAAGTTGATTTCATCTGAAAGAGGTAAATCATGTAAGAAGAATGAAAAGAGAAATGGAGAGAGGACAGCACCCTGAGGAACTCCAACTTCAGTAAGCAAAGGAGAGGAAGATACACCATTATATACCGTGTACTGCATCCTATTAGAGAAGTAAGAGTGCAGCCAGTTGATAGCCCAGGGCTCAGTTTATGTAAGGCTAAGTTTGTTTAACAATAGGCCTCTAGGTACAGAGCCAAAAGCAGATGTATAATCAAGGAACGTACAACGGACATACTTGGCCTCTTTGTCTAAGGAGGATACAATGTTGTGATGAAACACAGTAGCAGCGTCCAAAGCACTTCTACCCTGTTTGTAAGCAAACTGCTTTGGGTCGTTTGAGAAACTTAGGGAGGGAACAAGTTGTAGTAACAATAATTTCTCCATTAGTTTCAAAAAGGGAGAGGTAATAGCGATAGGTCTAAACTTAGCATTATTACCAGAACCTGACTTGGGTACAGGGATGATTTTAATATCTTTCCACAGAGAAGGTACAACATTATTAGAAAAAGAAGTGTTGAAAATGTTTGTAAGTGGGTCGCTTAAAATATCAGCACATTTCCTTAGGACAATGGCAGGTATACCATCAGGGCCTAGACTCTGGGAAGGTTTAAGAGATCTTAAAGATTTAAGAACATCAGAAGTTTTAAAACTATGAAAGTCACTGGTCATGTTATTTGTTACATTGAAGCTAAACGGTACATTAGGAGGGCGGATAAAAGATCTATTAAGAGTATTGACATCAATAGAAGGGACACAAGAACTATGCTTACCACAACCTGTAATTTCTTTGAAAAGCTTCCACATGTTCCCAGGAGTTTTACATGACAAAATTCTTTGATTATAAATATTGTTTAGCCTCTTGATTTCGGATTTAATTTGGATGTTTATCCTCCTAAGACCAGCTTTATGTTTAGTCTTGTACAGTCTCTCTTTTTCTCTTCGAAGCTTTTTGAGATGAGGGGAAGAGAAACGGTCTATTCTTTTGAAAAGTATCTGTTTTGGACAGGACACATCAAGGCAGAATTTAAGATAGTCAGCCAGATTGGAAATAGTATCATCCAGTGTGTGTTCAGTGAAAAGTTCCCAGTTTGTATCATTTAACATACACGTCTTAGTTTGAGCACGTTTTCTTGTGAGTAACATCTTTATGTTTTTCTGGAGAGATTCGAGAGGATATTTGAGTGATATCTGCTATATATCTTTGGTAATATCCGAATAATACAATGATCAGAGTTCATTATAGGAGCACATCTGCATGCTTCATATATTTCCGCATCATTAGTAAATACTAGATCCAGCGTTATGATGAATTTAAATATTTTGTTATAGTACTGATAGTGATGATAAAAATTCCTCTGTTTCACAGAAAATAGCTTAACTATACACGAAGATTTATACCACAAAACTAAGAAGACTCAGTATGATTCTGCTACTTTTTGATATAATGGAGGAGATTAGTAGCTTAGTAGCAAAACCTGATGCTGTAATTTATCATTCAGTACCGGCGTCACGTAATATTCCACATGCTTAAACAGAAAGAACCCATCCATTTATCACATCACGAAGAAGTTACAGCGTATTTAACAAAACTACTGATAAACTTTCTAGCCATCTGAGTGAATACACGTCAACTACGGCGAAAAATTATTAGTATTATAGTATGGGAGAAAAAGATTTAAAATAAGTACTAGTGTAATATAGTCTATTCAAACCCCAATAAAATATTATTTACCTAGGACTGTAAATTCAGTAATATAACTGTGATGAATTTTTGAATGATAACCTGGATTTTATCTTCTAATAAAATAATAAACGATCAGCAGTTATGTAGACCATCAAGTGTTGGTTTGCAGGGATCTGATTCGTTACAGGATTTATCACGAGCTGACATCCGTTAGAGGACAACTGGTAAACCTAGAAGCAGTAGACAGATGTTTCGTTCCACTGTGGGACTCTTCATCAGTAAGCACCCGCTAGGGTTTGAATCCCCGACCTTCCGAATTGGCAGAAGTCAGAATTCAGGGACCATTGGAATAGATCCCAATGGCTGAATGGTCTACGAGCTCACTTCCTAACCGTAAGGTCCTGGGCTCGAATCAGTGGGTGCGTCGTGCTGAAGAGTCCCAAACTAGGACCACAGAGCTGTCCATTACACCCAGGTTTTCCAATGGTTCTGTAATGCATGTCAGTTATGTAGACGT